TTTCAGGCCTGGCTGAATTCCAGGATGTAATTATCGATTTGATTATATCAATATATGATTATCTTTTGTCAAAAAAAAAAAAGTGTCAACGGTAAGGTGGGTGGGTATGTGGGTAGTTAAATCGCCGCTGGTTTCAAAAAAACGTTGTGATTGGGTAATTTAATAAATAAGATAAATAAAACTGGTGTGATACTGAGTGATTGACAAACCTGAACCATCACCATTGATGACGAAGTTTTGATTCTCGTAGAACTGACTAGAGGACATGTTCCTGAGAGCATTGGTAATTTGTTGAGTGGCGGCAGAATCAAACAACCACGAGGAAGAATATCCATTAGGGTTCGTGGTGGTGGTGGCGGCGGTGAGAAAGCGTTGAGGCTGATTGATGATGCGCTGGCAGGTCTTAGCAGAATGACCTGGCTCGTCACAGTATTGACAAACAACGACGGGAGCAACAGCCAGACTATTATTTCTCATGTCCTGTTGCCGCAAAAACGTTTCGAATTCAACAAGCTCCTCGAACAATTTCAAAAATGAAATCGGAGTGTTTCTAGCACGAATGGCAGCAACCAAGTCCTTGAACTCGGCACCAACACCGTCGAGGGCATGGAGAACAAGCTGAGATTCGTCGATAGGGTGGCCAATGATGAACAGATCATTAGCGATCCGCTTCAACGAAGTCATGAAAACGAAGACGGATTCATCCTTCCCTCGAGCCAGACGCGACAACTTATTGTTCAGTTCTGTGACACGAGATGGTGAGCTTCTGGCGTAGAGCCGCTCCAAGGTCAGCCACGCATCAAGAGCAGACGGAGATGTCAAGATCAAGGGGGCGACAGTTTCTTCTTGAACCGACGCCAAGATTGCGTGAAAGAGAAGCTGGTCCTGACGGTTCCAGTGTTGGAAGGCGGCGGAGGTAACATCGTCGGTTGGAGGAGTGCTAGTACCGTCGATGTAACCAAACAGTCTGTGACCAACTACAAGGCTACGAAACTGCTGCGCCCAGGAAGAGTAATTGGCGCCGGACAACTTGATGGGCAGTTCCGCTACGCTTATGTAGACGAGAGGAGGATGGGAGCTGAAGCTATTGTTGCTCATGTTGTGTATATCCTGGATAAGATAAAAGAAGACCCAGATTAGAAACGATGAGTACATAAAGGAGAAATTAAACAAACACAAACACATATTTTTGAAGATTGTGTAGCAGTGTTTCAAAATTGATCCTGGAAATTAAGATCATTGTTAGTAGATAAATGAAATAGAATTATTAAAACGTTGTTTTGTCAATTCTCAATTTATTAGTGACCATTCCATGGTTATTCCACGGAGTCGGATTTCGGGTACTATACATTAGTGACCATAAATATGGTGGTCGATCGCTAACAAAGTAAACTGTTGTATACGGGACATGAGGCGGTCGGCAATATTATGATATTACAACGACATGTTTGTGTGAGATTTTTAGTGAAAATCATGTATCAAAACAATTTCTCCTGAAGTTACCTTTAGTGACGAACTTCGTAACTGCTCAAAATACATCTAGTCTGAGAGTATTTGTGACCATTTTAAAATGAAAACTGAACCATCCGCATGGCCAGCCCTAGCCTAGGGCCAAGGCCACATGTCGTTACTAAATGCCATGGGAAGGTCATAATACTGGTGACCAAAACTTGTTGTTAAAGATTCTTTGTTGCAGTGCAGTGACTATACACAAACAAAGGAAATTAGATAATAAGATCTATTTTTCAACTTCGCTTCATTACTCGAATTGATATCATGACACCGTGTTTACTCATAAAAATTAACCTTGTACCACATCGGTTAAAAATAAGGAATTAAATGGCTTTATAAGGCCAACTTAATCATATCAGTTTAAATCAGTTGAGTGGGCCATGAGGATTGAAAAATACCGCCAGGACGTGGCAAGGGGGTGGACATCATACCGCCACCCCATGACATGGTGATGGGGTGATTGCCGAATTTGACTAAGGCAAGGAGTATGGGAGCCACCCCCAAGACATGCCAAGGGGGTGGCCACCATCATACCACCCCCCAGGACGTGGTGAGGGGGGTGATGGCCGAATTTGGCTAAGGCAAGGAGTATGGTAGCCACCCCCAGGACGTGGTGAGAGGGATGGGCATCATACCACCACCCCCAGGACGTGGCAAGGGGGGGTAAGCATCATACCCACCACCCTCAAGAGGTACCAAGGGGGGTGGGTACCAGACCACCACCCCCATGGCGCCTTGGTGAGACGAGAAAAGGTAAAATGTGGCTAAGTATGGAAGATGATGAGGGCGGCAAAGAGCACCTCCATGAGGTGGTCTAGGGACCACCAACATACCACCCCCATGGTATGATCAGGGGGTGGGGGTCACCAAGGCCAAAGGCCAGCTCCCATGAGGATGATATAGTGGTGGAGTGAACCATATTTTCCTCATGGGGGATGCCCCCAATGGTATGGTGAGGGGGTCACCAAACGTACACCGGCATGGTATTGCCAAGGCAAGTAATTTTTGCCATTTTTAATCCATGTAATTCAAATACTCACCCATATGTGGTACGTGGTATACCTTCATGCCTTAGCTATTGTTACTCTATGGATAAGCAAAACTACGGAGGATATGCCAAGAGCATGGATTGAGGTCTCAAGAGGAGAGGGTCAAGACTGAAGAGGATCTCAATTCCAACATCAGGGTAACCGTCATAGCAGTTGAGAGGGTAACCGCCACTCCACGTCAGCAGAGCAGTTTCTTGGGGCAGTTACTTCTGATGGCTATAAATAGGAGGTGAAGATGATAGAGAAGGGTTGGCCAAAATCACACCAGACAACACAATGTCAACTTTTATCCTTTTATCTTTTCCTCTGCAAATTTAGCCATAGTTGTAGTTCTGGAGCTCTCACTGAACCTCCATAGGAGTAGAGTTAATGTAATTTAGTTTGCCTCGTAGATCATCAAGAAAATCGAACACCCTTGTTTGAACTTTGTTCAAAGAGGTGTGGACCGTATTTGTTAATCGTTTGTTTGAAAGTAAAAAAAGGTGCAACAATTCAATTCTGTTATCTAGATTTTCTCGCCGGGAAAACACACCGGATTATCGGATTATGAAATCTTCGTTTAATTGTGTATTATTATTTTTACGGTGATTGTAGTTACAGCTTTTTGGGTGATGAGGATTATCCCACAAAAGTTTGTCTTATTTATGTTGTTGAAAACCCAAAACAAAATTTAAACACATATGAGAAATCGAAATTACAAGCAAAGTAATATAAGACGTATACATACTTGGCCACTCGTACATGTAGCTAGAACCTGCTCTGCTCTGCTCTGCAATCCTTTCAGTTTCTGGGCTAATGGAAGGCTTGGGAGTTGTATGGAAATTTTTTTTTTTTTTTTTAAGAAAGAATTGTCAAGTAGTCTTAATCAAGAAATGAGATGCACTTCTATGTTCTATATGCATTGTATTTATAGAACGGGAGGAAATATTATTTAATTAACAACTTAATTCTTTCCTTAAACTCCAAATTAATCTCTTTGCTTGATTAGTGAAAGAAAATTAAGGTATTTATTATTCTTTTTACTTTTTCATTTTATATGCAATAAGTAAGGTATTTGTTCTTTGATTAGAGCTCTTTGCGGAAACAAATTAAATTATCTTATCTGATTACTAACCCCATGGTTAATCAAAGGCTGCTTAACTCATTGTAAAACAAATCTTAAATAACTACTAGACTACTACAAGTCTACAACGACAGTGTGGTCGGATTATCTCAAAAGACCAAGGAGGAATTAGCCACAAGCCCAGAAAGAAAAAAAGGCCCATTGCAGACCCCCTAACTTAACCCTTTACCAATCTGGAATCTGCCTTCTCCCCTTGAAGGCCTTTTTAAAGCGAAATACAATGAATATGCTGGGATTTTTTTTCTTGATATAGATTTGTTTGTGCTTTTTATCGTTTAAGGAATTTGGACATGAAACCTACAGGTTAAAGATCATGCTACACACCTTCATGACTTAAGAGGCTGAAGCGGGTCTAAGCACCATAGTCGGATTGAAGGAAAGGAAAGTTATGACTTCTGAAGAGAGATTGGTGAAGTGATTTCAGTGGGCTATGGCTCTTTTGATCTGTACATCAGTCATCAAATAGTAAATGTGTGTCATTTCCTCTCTTGATGTTCCAGCTCCAACTAATCAACCCATCAAGCAAACCAATGATATGAACAGGCAAATTCAACAATGATGTAGCTGTCTGTCAGTGGGTCATGGCAAATTCATCTAATAACAGAAGAATTTCAACCTGTCTGTACTAATTATGTACATCCATTACAAGGATTTTATTTAACTGGAGAAGCCAAAAACAGGGGAAACAGAGCCACTAGAGCCTTTGCAACTCCTGTTCTCTCTTTCAAGTCCGGAACTCTACAATGGCGGGGGGAAAGAACCACTAACAGCATAATGCACCAATGGAATCGCTTCAAAAATCCGAATTTCTTGCTCAAAAATACTTTTTTCTTGATACTTCTAACCTCTTCAAAAAGACAGTACAAGAAGAAGCAGAAGGAGCCAGCTTGGTGGGGTGAGGTGGATGCTCTTCTTCTGCCATGATCAAGAGTCTCAGTCTGCTCTGAACCACCGATATTTCCTTCCGGCGACCATGTAGATCTTTCCAGACGGTGCACAACAAAGCGTCCCGAGAGCAACGAAGGAGAAGGCAAAGAGTTCCGTAGATAAATTACCTCCTCTTGATTCCTCCACTCACTTCTAGATATCAACCCATTATCCAAATTCATTGCTTGTTCAGTTTACCTAGTTGGTTCTCGTCTAAACTCTAAAGTGACAGAGTGCTTATCGATTGGCACTTGGCAGACACACTATCCCAAATGGTTGCAACAAGATCCCTAAAACCTGTTCCATGTACATCAGCACTAATGGTGTCCAATTACCAAATTCACAAAAACGTACGTGGATTAAGGGTTAATTGAAACCCTACCTAAAACCCTCAATTTTCCTCTAGAAGGCATCTTTAAAACCAAATGCAAATCAGTAAACCAATGGACTAATTCATCGTAGCTCCAGTCTGCGTTCATAAAAAGCACAAAGCCTTCTTAGAGAAACAAAACATCCATTCCACATTGCAAAATCTCCTTACTAATCCAACGACAATGTATGAGTAAGGCAAACACAACAACTTTTCCAAACAGAATCCATAACGGTCTCTACCTCGGAAAACTGACTGCTAAAATGGAATACCAAAAGGGAGATCACAACACTGTTTCTTTTTTACTTTTTGTCTTCCTTGGCAGCCTCCTCGGCCTTCTTCAGCCTAGCACCATAGTGGCGCTGGTTGGTACGCTCTAGTCTGAGCTTATCATAGGCCTTGAATGACTTCATGTCGCTAGTAACCTTGACAAGCTCGACCGATGGAGTCTCACGTGCAATAGGCATGAACTCACCCTGGACTTGAGTCGCGGTTGCCATTTCCTCGGGAGCAGAATCACCAGCCTGTGAAGACAAGTTGGTAAGATTTCAGTGTTCATAATGCTTACTGAAAAATTAGGAATCCAAAAATTTCCGCCAGAATGAAGCAGAGTGGTATCATGATTGCATAAAAAAAAAGGTGGTCTCGCTGAGCACTTGACACATCACTACTTTGCAGCACTAAGAAATCAAATAACTTTACTTGTTATACCAAATAAGCAACTCGATGTAATTCAAAACATACAGATCCACTCCTGATTCAAGATTGAAAAAGACAACATCTTTACCTTAGCTTTGCCAGGACGCCTTGGGAAGACAACAAGCTTGGCCTTGTAAGTCTTCAACCTCTGAACATTGACCTGCATCCCCTCGAGAGACCTGTTTTTCCTGCGGTGGTCAACTGCGATTCCAATGGTTGGTGCCAGCTTCTTCGGGATTCCAGCAGCCTATTCACAGGAAGGGGGAAAAGCTTAAGAAACCCAACTTGAAACAACCCACACGTCCACAGGTTTCCCACTTCCATACAAATTAGCCATGACAAACAAGTCACGGCAAATTATACCTTCAGCTCTTCCAGAGTGAACCCTCTTCCAGCCTTCAACTTCATGTTGTACTTCAAAGTCTGCCCATGGACAATGGGACGAAGAGGTCCAGCAGTAGGCCTAGGGAAGATCTTCACTGCCTTCTCCTGACGAGCTGCAAGGAAATAGTAGCACACAACAAGCAAGCCGCAAATGAATCAACATAACCACAATGAACAACAAGAACTCGTTTAAGATCATCACAACAATAAAAAACACCCATCTAATTATACTACTACAGCTAAAACACAGCACAATCCTTAATTTCTCATCAGGCCAACAAAAAATTACCACCTCCTTCTACTCTGACTACACACCTAAACTGCTTCTTGCTGATTTAAGAACCAATTAAACGAAAAAAGTAAAGGGAAAAAAAACTGACCAGCGCGTCTGCGGGTCTTCCTCGCTGGCTGATTGAACCATGTCTTGACATAGTTCTGCCAGTGCTTCTTGAAATGGCCATTGGGGATAACATTGTTATGCTTCATGGTGCCTCACCTGCAACAAAAGAAATCGAACGACAACAGCAAAGGCATTCAATTCAGAACGCGAGCCGAAGGATTCACAGCCAAAAAGAACAAGCAAATGGGAATCAAAGAAATACTCGATCTTTCGATCGAACTAAGAGCAGATTCAGAAGGATGATGAAATGAGACCGAGCTAGGAAAGAATAAACGATGATACAGATGCTGGAAATTCGACGACAAGCGATGCGGCGGAGGAGACTTACTTTCAGAGCGAGCGGCTTTCTCCCTTCTTCGGCCTAGGATTTGCTCTGCAGGACGGCTGCTGGTGTTTCGGTATTAGGGTTTAGTGAGCGTAAAATATATACGAGAACCGGGGAAGGGAAAAGAAGGGGGGGGGGAGTTGGAGGAGCGTTATGGGCTTGTTAATTGGGCTTAGGTGGGAATGTAAGGCAAGCTTGCTGGGTTTGGTTGTGTTAGAAAACAAGGCTTCGGCCCAATCTGAGGTTACCGCACAACAAAAGAGCTGTGCTATGTGTTTCAACGAACACAGGAGCAAAATCAGTTGTTTGTAGAGATGGCAATTGAATTTGTATTCGCGGTTACTTAGCTTAAACCGGTTTTCTACCTAATTCTGATGAATTTTGGGTTAGGTGTATGTAAAATTCGTTTTTCAAATTAGTGGGCTGTGTGTATGGTTTGGCTAAAATCCTATCCATTTTTCACATGATATACATCCCAAAAGTAAAACAATAAGTTAACTACGTTATTAAATTGTAGAAATTTTTTCAATAACAAAAAAAAATGGGTGACCGGAATAATTATTTGCGGTTATTTTCATCGAACTTATGAATATCCATGCCTCGCGAGTGTCGTTGGGTTTGATCGGGATTTTCTTCCAAAATTCAATGAGCATTTTTTGTCATGATTTTTTTATGGGTGTACTAGTTGAGTTGGATTTTAATTTAGAGAAGTCCGCCTCATTTGTCTGCCCTACTTGTTGATACAATTTTTTTCACTCTTAAATTGTTGAGCCTGAATTTAGGTTGATTACTTTGGATTTTATATAACCCTTTTTTATGTCAACATGTATGAAGCTATTTTTATGTTGTACAGGAAACAAAGTGATGCGTGTTTTGTATACTCTATCGTGGATGCGAAACTCATTCGGACAATGTAGTGAAATGTGTGTTTTACCTAAAATGGTTTTGGTGATCTAGAAGCGTAAAGCCGTAAACTTTTATTAAGTTTTAAAGCGTATTTTAAACTACATTAGTTATAAAAATTATGATTCCGCATAGAAGCGTTTTAGTGAAATAAAAGCGTAAAAACGTAAATTTTTAAGATTTGAAGCGCGATTTTAACTACATTGATTACGGTATGAGTATGGTTTGGATATTCTACCCAATTCTTGTAAAGGTATGGGTATGAGTAAAATCCTAACTTTTTTGGTTAGGGGAATGAATATGCACTATCAGGCTTCGACTCTACCTGTTGGCATCCCTAATGTGCAGGTAATTATCTGGATGGTCACACAAAGGATTCATCTCATGCAATGTGAGGGGTTATGCTACAAGAATTTTTGGTGTTACGATCATCGTTTCAGCGTGCTACATTTTCTCAACGATTCATCTCACACAAGTGATTTAGTTCAGTAGTTCCCCATAGAAAATTATTGACTATAGAGATAGAGTAATATGTAAAAGACAAAAATGTTTCTTCGAATTGTTTTGTTCCGAAACAAAGATACTCGGAGGGTGGTTCATCCTATTTCAGATATTCACGACTCTTAAGTACTGGATTCTATTCCAGGTAGACCCTGAAAGGAAAAGTAAGACTGAATGCCAACAAACCTCTATGAATGATAAAAGGGGTTATTCATATTCCAGCAAGTTTCAACAATACTATTGTGACCATTACATATGTATGGGGGAAGATGATCTCTTTAGTCTTCCTCGAGCACTTGTGGATTCAGAGACACAAGATGAGGGACACCGTTTGCTGCTCAAACCGCAGCAGAAGATGATATTCAAACTCTTTTTTCTTTTCTCTCTTCTATGAATTATTACAAAGCTGAATTGATTTAACACTTAGATCATTGGAGTTTTCATATTATTGGCATCGAATTTCTCTTTTTAACCATCGGTATCTTTTTCAGGAGCTGGCTAATGAAGCGTGGGGATCCTATTGAAAATGAGACCCCAACGATTGAAACTTTTACACTGTTGGGGACTGAATTACTTCCTTAATTTGTAGATCATAATAAACATATACATTCTCGAAAACAGCCATTCGAGATTTCGCATTATAACATGATCATTCATATCGTAGATATAATTGGGATGCTCTTATAATAACAAAACAAGCTCTTTCATCATTGAACAGTACATTGACCTAATTTTTTCTTATCTCGATAATATGACCTGACCTTTCTCGTAACTAAACTATTTCCCAATGCAAATAGCTTATACACATGTGTAAAATTTGGAGGCTTTTGCCTTTGAGCCCAATCAACTCTCCGTATCCTCCTTTTTGAGTCTTTAATTTAACAAATCTCGCCTCGTCGATCCGCATTTCCACATTCCCGCGCATCGCCGCCCGCCGCCGCGCGCTCCGCCGTGGAACGATCATCCAGATAGTGCTGATAAACATACGAGACGAACCCCCACACCGCCAGCACCATCGCCACCGCCTTCACGCCGTCCATCTTATCCCCGAACAGCACCACCGCCAGCACCGGAACCAACGGCAGCGCCAAAGTGCTGATCACGTTCGAAAACAGAGACGATACCTCGAACACCAACCCCAACATCCCCAGCGACGACACCTGCCACGCCACCGCCGTCCAGATCAGCGTCAGCAAGTACGCCGCTTTCCCCTCCGTATAACCCTTCATCTCCCCCTTCACCTCCTTCCACTCCCCGCTCGCAAAAATCCCCACCACACAACCGACCGTCGCCACCGCTGATGGGTAGATCTGCATCTCCACCACCGCCTTCGCCATAACTCTCACTCCTCCTGGCAGGTCCGAGTCCAGAGTGTGAAGGGTGTTGTTGTCGACTGCAGAATTTACTCCGGCAGCGGTGGAGGAGTGGTGGTTCTGCAACTCCACTGCTGCTTCGTCCACCGTCGAATTCTCCTTACCCGGTACGAGGTTGTCGAAGGTGAGCTGGATGAGGGAGAGGTAGAGGGAGTAGGCGGCGGAGGCGCCGACGGTGGTGAGGAATCCGATTGCGTACTTGTTCTTGGCGGCGGTGGAAGCGGTGTCGTCGTCGGCGGAATTGACGGCGAGGAGGGTGGCGGAGACGGTGAGGAGGACGAGGGAGTTGAGGATGAACGGGGTGAACTTCTGGTTGTTGAGGAAGAAGGAGAAGACGGCGTTGAAGGCCAATTGGGTAGCGCAGAGCAAGGAATAGGTGGAGACCGGGAGGTAAAGGAGGCCGTAGGAGTACATCAAGTTGTCGACGGTGAGGAGGACGCCGAAACCCAGGTAGATCAGCGGCAGCCAGCGGCGGAGATGGTTCCGCCCGCCGCGGTGGTGGTGTTTCTGTCGGAGGAAGTAGAGCAGGAGAGGGAGGAGAAGAGGGAAGCCGGCGGATTGGACGAGAGTGGCCATCCATTTGCTGTTGCCGCCTTTGTCGTAGTAGAGGCGGCCAAGGAGCGTGGCCGCGGATTGACCGATGAGGAGGAAGAAGATGTAGCAGGTTATGCGGAGCCACCATTTGTAGTGAATGAGTTTTGGGAGATGAAATTTGCCGCTCTGGCGGCCTCTGTTGGCTGAGCTTTGAAGCTCCCTCTGATTAGCAGCAGCTGTAGCAGAAGCAGACTCCATTAGAATTGGTATTACTATAATGAGAAAAGGAGCTAATAGTAACAATAATAAGCTCGGCTGATGACGGTTTACATATGGGATAGATATTGGGGTTTCTAAGATTTGGAATCACACGAACTGGATGCTTGTGGTTACGTCTGGGTTTCTAGTCAAACAAATTTTGTATGACTCTGCCTACCACATTTTGCTCTTCAATGAAAGCAACTGGTTGTTTCATTTCAAATGCTGGAAAGGTCAAAATTGGCTAGCTATCACCGCCTCACAGGCTGACTTTCAAGCATAAAAGACTAATAGCATTTAGCAGTACAACACATTGTAAAACAGCTTTTGAGAGTGAAATGAACCCTCCTGTGGTCTGCCTGAAACTCAATAACATGTTCATATATACAAAAAAAAAAAAAAAAAAAAAAAAAAAAGGAACTCAAGCAGGCAGTACTAGTCACTTACTCAAGTTGCATCAGCTGAAGATGGAAAAGGTCGTCGGTTTTATATTTGTGCAGCCATAAGCCTAGTCGTCGTTCCATGCTGTGGGAAACACATTATTTACAGTATTTTGTTTGTTCGGATTATCGTCGGTTTTTATGATTTAGGGTATTATTTGGAGTATTCGGGAATAAACAGGGAGTTGAATGTTATGTTTAATTAGTTGGGTAGTCATTGGGAATTAGGCAGACTATTTAATCTGTACTAGGGTATTATTTTTCATTAAGCAGAAAGTTAATCAAATCTCTAAACCTAAACTCTCTCTCTCCTTTCCCTCTCTAGCGCCGACCCCTCTCTTCTTCTTCTTCCTAGAGGCTGCGGCAGCAGCTCCCCAATTCTCTCTCTCAATTGTTCCAAATCCCCAATTCTAATCCCTAGTGAGATCAATCCCTAATTGATCTAGCTAAATTTCCCCAATTCCCATTCTGTAGGAAACCTTGTTTCCTACATCTGGTATCAGAGCAATGGTCGAAGATCTGAGTTCATCACAACTCTCACCCGGGGACTACGATGCCTTGTGCGAATCCCTTGCTCAAATCAGAAACTACCATCACGCGTCCTGGGATCGGATGCAAAACCACATGGACCAATTAAAGGAGGACTTGAAGCAGTGTAAGACATCCCACGAAAAGCTCCAAGTTGCCATGAATAAATGGGAGGCGTACCCCGAACGCCAGTCCTTCAAATCCATTGCGGCGGTCCCGGAAAGCGCAACCACGGAGCAGAATTGCCAAGGCTCTTCACTGGTGGCACGAGTCGTGCAGAGGGCGTCACAGTCGGTGGCGACTCCAGTCGGGGCAGCAGCGAAAAGAGAGGCGGAGAAGAAGTTGGTGATCGCCGGCTCGAGTTCGCACCCCAATCACCGGGTCGAATCCTCGCTGCCGCAGGAAGAAGAAGCGACGGGTCCAACCGAGGCGACGATCGCTGAGAAAACGAAAACCCGCAGCCACGCAAAGCAGGTTCGCTGGACTTTCCCACCGGCGGCGCGAAGAACGTCGCGTTCGTCGGCGGCGGCCGACATATCAGAGCTGACGTGGGCTCAAAAGCAGGAAAAACTATGGCAGATTGTGGAGTACTGGAAGGTCTACGCATTGCGTCGTGGGACGGCAGAGGTGAAGGCCGGGGGTGACGACGCAAAGGCGAGGCAGCCGCCAACCGCAGAGGTAGGCGAGGCCGACAAGCAGCCCTCTGCGGCAAGCGCAGCGGTTGTGACGAAGGTCGAGACTCCTGGTCCGCGACAACCAGCAGCTACCTTTGGATCTTTGTTTGAGGTCCCTACGAACCATAGAGGCTCGGATGCTTTGGGGATCTCATCAACTTGGAAGTTTCGGAAGAAAAGAAATGAGGTAATCAACTCGGGGAGAGCTGCTGTTAGTTCAATCCTCGAAGTTGGTGAAAGCTCTGTAGAGGAGGACGGAGGTAAAAGTCGCGTCGAGGGAAGAAGAGTACATGTCGATGCCCTGGTCACGACGGCCAGACCTCTACCCTCAACAGCTGTCGTGCCACGGGCTTCCACAAGTCTTGCCCCGCTGACGACCGCCCATGCTACGATGGCCATCCTTGCCACTTCAAACGTCAAGGTAACTTTTGTTGTTGAGATTGGGACTCCCTTGTCCAACATTGACGCCGCCGACATGAAGGTGAAAGTAAGAATTCAGTTTGTTAGTTACGGAGCAACTTTGGCGGGTGGGCTTGTTGTGTTCCCATGGAGGCACACGAAAAAGGTGATTACTAGGGAGGAATTGAAAGAAGTTGTCATCCTCTGTTCGATTCTTGTTAGAAGAAGAGTATCCATGGGCAAGGAAGAAACTCAGAGGTATTGGAAAGAAAAATGGTCCATTATGGCTGAACCTTGTGGAGGTTTTTTGTTAGGTGGTGATGCTGAAATTCAAGAGGAGCTGGCCACCGCTGGGAGCTGGAAATTTAGAAAAAAGTCTCTAAATAGGCATGGGAACGGAAAGAATATTGCGGGAGATGCGGCGGAGTGGCCGGGCTATGTGTCCTGGATGGGACGAGCTAATTTCAACTCGTTCTGGTGTGGAGAGTTCGCAGAGATGATGGTGGATGGCAAGGATCGAGTTCAAGGCGTTCATGTGGGGGAATATGGAAATGCGGTTGTCATGGGAATGAGAAGGAAAATACTTGTGATTACTGAATTAGAGGTTAAGATGGTATTGATTCTTGATTCCTTACTTCATTGGATGCTATGGGAAATTGAAAAGAATGAAAAATGGAAGCAGCAAAGGAATGGAGCAAGAAAAGTGGTGTATGAGGAGAAGTGGTTTACATGTGGCAAGTTGGGAAGTCACAATGATGAGATAGAAGGGAAGCACGTGTATGGTGGGTTTGCTTGGGGAATTATTGCTCCTGTCATTAGTGTGGGTGGAAAAGTCTTATTTTTGTTTGAAGTTAGCCCAAATAATGCACAGCTCCTGTTCGGATGGCAGGCTTGTGAGGGTAATTCGAGGGGTTTTAACCCCACTCTTGTGGTAAAAGCACAAGAATGGGAGTTGGAAGTGGAAGTGGGTAATGGCACCAAGATGATAAGCATCTTTGGCGAAGGAAAAATGATGAATCCTATGCTACAAGATGTCTGCGGAGCAACAAAAGGACAGTATCCATTGATGCAGTTTGAAATGAGGGATAGGGACTTAGTGGGTCGTGGTCGTGATAATGTTATGAGGTTTGTGGTGGAAGGAGGATCGATGAAAGTTGGAACTGCTAACCATGGAGTCGCTTGTGAGCTCGATCGGAATTGGAAGAAAAGAAAGCGCAAGAAGGATGTGGATTACACGGAGACCGTGACAGAGTGGGTCAAGTCGGTCAACCTTGAGGACAAGGTTGTTTTTCGAAGGAAGAGGGGATGTGGGAAACACATTATTTACAGTATTTTGTTTGTTCGGATTATCGTCGGTTTTTATGATTTAGGGTATTATTTGGAGTATTCGGGAATAAACAGGGAGTTGAATGTTATGTTTAATTAGTTGGGTAGTCATTGGGAATTAGGCAGACTATTTAATCTGTACTAGGGTATTATTTTTCATTAAGCAGAAAGTTAATCAAATCTCTAAACCTAAACTCTCTCTCTCCTTTCCCTCTCTAGCGCCGACCCCTCTCTTCTTCTTCTTCCTAGAGGCTGCGGCAGCAGCTCCCCAATTCTCTCTCTCAATTGTTCCAAATCCCCAATTCTAATCCCTAGTGAGATCAATCCCTAATTGATCTAGCTAAATTTCCCCAATTCCCATTCTGTAGGAAACCTTGTTTCCTACACATGCTCCATATGTTCTGTGCTCGCCTGATCTTCTGTACCAGACAGTAAAGTTTGCTCTTTTTCTATGTTGCTAACTGTTGATGCAATGGAGAGCTGATGGTCCATGGGAAGAGCATTCCTCTTGTAGTTCCACACGAGCATCGAGATGTAATCCTGAGGCGAGATCAGACCTTGTTCACTAATCAGGGACCGCTGATCCTCCAATCTCTGGGGATCGTCAAGGCTTATGAACTCAAGCAAAGCCTTCTCGTGATCGGGCCTCCAGTTATTCGGGAATGGGGAGTAATCGGTTTCAGGAACGAGAGACATTCGAGTGTACTGTAGTCCATCGATGGACTCCACGAGCCCCATCCTCAGCAAATTATGGTACTCGGGCGAAGACCCTTTCTTCTCTTTTAAAGGACGACTGAGATTCCGAGCACCAATCTTGTACACCTTAGCACGCGACCTGAGCTTGTACTTAGCAGCGTAGAGTTTTGCTAGCGAGCCTCTTAAAATGTATGAGCAGAAGTTGACAATCTTTTTTCTATTGTCGGCATATCTGTACCACTCCACCATGGTTGACAAGAACTTGTTCATCTGAGCATTGGTATGAGCTTGTGTGGCGTGGAACATACGAAAACAAGGCTGTGGGTCCGGATCTCGATCTCCTTTCAAAAACTGCAGCTTTCTAAACTGCTTGATGCATTGCTTCAAGCTGGCAGTGACCGATAGAAGAGTCCCTACGCCCTTCTCGCTGATGATCTTGCCTCCAGTGGCGGTATATCTAAGTGTGGGGTACACAACTCTTCTGCATAGAACATGGTCGAGAAACATGATCCCCTTTGTTATGTGTTCAATGGGAAGACTGTCATTGTCGAGCTTGAGCATGTACTTCTGATCCACAAATTCGACCAACTGCTTTCTCAAAGTAGCTGCATCTGCTCTGGGACCCCTGACACCGATCAAGATATGGCCACCATAACGAACATAGTCCATTTTCCTGGTCTTATCAGGGCCACTAGTCGGCACAAATTCTGGCCACGAAGTATTGCCTTGTTCCGCTTCCCCTTCTGGGATATTCCATATCACGTCACTCTTCGAAGGGGAATAGTAATCCTTGATCTTACCCTCCACCCATCGATCCAACTCGTCTAGACAAATGTTAGCTAGTAGAGGACTAAGAATCCCACAGTGGCCCCATGAAGGTTGTTTCTCAGCTTCTTCTGGTGCAAACCCAAAAAATGTGTCTAGCCAATATGGATCCGGCTTTGGCTCATCCTCTGCCAGAACCCTCTTCTTCTGGTGCTTTCTCTTTGTCTTCTTCTTTGGTGGCTCTACTGCGGTTTTGATTACCGGGGTGGTCAAAGCAGACTTGACCAGATCAACTATCTTCTTATCCCTCACATCCCTCATCAAAGCTCCTATTACAAAGCTATCCTTCATTCCATCCAAAACCGTGCTCAAGTCTCCCTTCAAGTACCATAAGTACCCCGCAAAACTCCTCCTAATCACCCTCAACACAGTATGAGCAGTCCTCCCGGGTCTGAATGCAAATGACTTCTGCGAAAATCTGGATTCGTAAACAGGCTCCAGGATCAAGAACAAAACTTCCTGAACTATCTTATCCTGGAAAGCTGCAGGCTGCGTGGTGGTGAGAATCGCCTTGATCTTCCTCTTGGACAAGGAGGCATAATCAGTCTTATCCTTTGGTGATTTGATGAAGAAATCCAACCTAGCCCCCCACTTGAATCTACCATCCAGAACAGCATTCCTAAGCACAAGCAAATCCTCCAAAGCTGACCTCTGAATAGCACTACGAGGTACATAGGTCCCAATTTCATCAGCACAAACTTTCTGATAAGCTAAAACCCACAACTCAAACCGACGTAGATAAGAGGTCAAGTTGGTGACTGTTTTGTCCGGTTCACGGAAGTTCTCGATCCACATTTGGGAGCAAACCGAGACACCATCTTCTCTCATCAGGTTGGATGGGTCGTCAGGGTCAGGGGGCCGTCGGTGGTGGGGTGGAGTATAGGATAATAACCGACATACAGCCAAAGCAAAACTCTTCTGATTCAAGGGACCAGCAGCAGGAGTGTATAGTAAGGTACCAGTGACTCGAGTGGTAGGGAAATGAAAGCTGCGACTATAAGCGAATATCGCCAGGCGACGGTGCATCTGGACAGAATGAAAGTGTTCCTCGCAGTTGATCCGATGGCGATTAGACCCTAGATTAAGCAGTCATGAATGTGCTTCCCCTGATACAGCATTCCAGGAAATGTAAGGCTTTTAGGCATTCGGTTGAAATGTACAGCAATGAAGGGGAATTTGTGAGAAAACCTCAATTAACTCGAAGGGACAAAACAGAACAGCAATGAAGGGGAATTTGTGAGATTAAACAATGAAAGAAAACTTTGTTTCGTTCTAATAGTTCTGAGTTCAGGAATATGTTGCCAGTGGCTTTGTAAGTTCATCATCAAGCATGGAAACTCACAGACCAATCTTTGCAGTAATCAGACTTAGCCAATGAAGTTTACTTTCCTAGAACGTGGCGAACGGAAAGGAGTGGCGGCATTTAATTACCTGAAGAAACGTCGTCTTAGCAGCGGAAAGAGGAGAGGGCGACCGGAGTGTAAACGGGAGCTGGGTGGCGGAGGCGGGGACGCCGCGTAGGCGGCGACGGAGGGTGGAGCTCGAGGAATCAGTCAATGAAGCGACGAACCAGGACGGCGGAGGACGGTGGTCGGCGGCGGATTGGAGGTTTTATTTGGAAGGAGTGAAGAATTTTTTAGGGTGGGGTTCACTTCAGCTCGCCTCGGAACAACTTCCGAACTGAAGGCAATCGGCAGATAGCGAAAGATGCTATTTTGCTTCTCTTATTTTAATTTATTGCTAAATTAGTCCACTTCTAGTGAAAGTTAAATAACTAAGGCCTTTGTGTTTAGGGGTGACCACGCCACAATCCGGTACACACAGGAACAGGACCGAATCGGATCGGATTGAATATATTTCAATCGATTTTGGACTTACGAATTACATTAAGTATTGAAAAAATGGATCAAAATTGATTTTGAATCGGATTAAATCGAACAAAATGAACCAAACATACTTTGATCTAGTTTTGATCCTCATTTTTCCTTTATTTTTTTGTATGGTCTTATATCAATTCGATCGGGTTATGAACTGCATCTACCAATGTCCACCAGTGTTAGACGATTGAGACCTATAAACAATTTGTTGGCCAACTAACACTTCCGTCAAAAGAAACCGTCAGCAATCATCAACAAAACTAATTACAGCTAATCAATCACCTTCATGGTAGATTAACACCTGATTAGGCAGCAGTGTACCTAGGTTAGAGATTAGGGAGAGGTATGTTAATCGATACACCTGTGTCCTGATATTTCGGAAATAAAATTATGTTTCGTCATTATAAAAATTTGGTACAATGATCTCCGACGCATTTCTAACAATTATATAGAATATATTTGTTGCTCATTCTGAAAAAGAATTAACTGACAAATTAAGCTATAAATATATTTTACAAACCTTAATCATTATGGCTCATTGTAGCCATTAGTTTTAACTTTCCCTCTACTCTCTTGCGATCATTTAGTATTGGTGAATGATCTATCACCACCCCCAAAATACTCAGAAATTCGAAACAACTCTAATGAAAGTAAGGATAACTTCTAATTTTATTATAAAAAGAAGAATTTGTAAGTTCTCATAAATTAAATGGTGGTAGTAAATCAAGTTGTTGGAATAAGATTACTTGTGGATCTTATATCACTACCTAATACAACGTCTTAAACAAAAGTCAACTCATTGTTATTGAGAGATGTTAATATATGAATCTTAACTCGAGTTATAAATTGAACTTGTACCATATTGTTAAAATTAGAAGTTCAGTTTGTACCATGAAATAATTTGCATCACTATATGTTATGGTACAAGTTCAGTTTGTATCATAACATAAATATAAAAATCCAGTTCATATCATAAAGAAATATGTAGTTTGTATTATGGTACTAGTTCAATTTGTAACGTAAATGAATTTTTACGAGATAAAGTATATCAACCAAACGAAATTTGTACCATATCATAAAACCAACTAATCTCGATACTCAAACTATTTATGATATCATGTCACAAATCAGTTTGTCACATGTCATCTAATGAACAAATTAGTTTCGATACCATACCATAAACCATCCAATCCCACTAAATCAAATAATTAAAAAAAATTAATTATGTATATTATACCGTTAACATTAAATTTTGAATTTAACAAACAAACACATCCACTTATCTTTATCCTTTTTTTTTCCCCTTAAAATTGGTGGACGTTTCTTCCCGTTCCTTTTGATTTTGTCCGTATGTATCCTTTTGGGAATCACTTGAGCTAAATTTACAGTACTGCGCCACGGAGCCCATTATCTTTCCCAATCTCCATTCCTCCCCCTCCCTCTCTCTCAAAAAAAGAAGAAGATGGAGGGCTCATTCGTAAATCCATACTCGTCTGCTGCGTTTAGCTTCTTCCTCAGCATTATCATTGCCGGGGCGACGACTTCCGGCAGTTCTTATTCAGCCGCTAGTACTCCGACATGTGACTTCCCGGCGATTTTCAACTTCGGGGACTCCAACTCCGACACGGGCGGGTTGTCGGCCGCGTTTGGCCAGGCGGGCCCTCCAGCCGGCGAGACTTTCTTCCACCATCCCGCCGGCCGCTACTCCGACGGCCGCCTTGTCATCGACTTCATTGGTACGTACTCGATTTCATTGGCCGCTTTCGTTTCCATCCTACGCCATAAGTGTGATAGTCAAATTTTATGAAAGAAACAAAAGCAGGGGGAAAGACTTAATTTATGGTTTATCTAGTGAAATTGTAACACTGTTTGTTAGACGAGGCACTACATGGACCGTTCATATTCTCATATGTCCACGTTTTATAAAATGTAGATTATGAAGATTTTTTCCCCACGATTGTGTCTTCAAATCATTAGAGTTAACGTTAAAGAGTAGGTATGTTGTTAAACCATTTGGGAATGCCAGCTGGTTAGCGAGTTGGGTAATTGGTTACAGCTTGTGGCTCAATAACAAATTATTATTAACATAAACTGATTAGAGGTTGTTTTTGTTTTGGAGCATTTGGTTTTTATCGGAAATATAGAATAAGATTTTTAGAGATTGTGGGAAGTGGATACTGATGATGGTCTTGTACTATTCTTTGTAAATCACAGTGGTATGATTGGTAGTTGGGCGGTTGTTTATGGTGGTGAAAATACATGTCGATCAAGATTCGATAATTTAGCGAGTAACTACGATTTCAATTTTTCGAGTTGATTCTGTTTTCATATCTTATAGTTCAGCGAGTAACCTATCTTAAATGGTGATTATTTATGAATTATTTAATTTTAATAATTCGAGCTGTTGAAAATATCAATGATTGGTTTTGTATTGCTCTCTTACTATAGTTGTTTTTTTTTTTTTTTTTGAAAGGCTCTCTTACTATAGTTACCAATCTTGTATTCGAAAGAAGAATGAAACTAGTGTAACAACCATGTGAGCAACCATGCCGTATTTTTCAAATCACGTACATGGCAGTGGTGTCGAAATCCGTGATTCGTTATTGGACCAATGTGTTTGTTTTTTACTGTCCAGTGACCAGTGTGGTCAGCTCTCCATGACTCCGTCCATACCTCTCACAGAAAAAAAAAAAAAAAAAAAAACAGCAGTACTTGCACTTCAATAATAATTCATTTTTCAGAGAAAAAAAAACCAATGTAGATCATAGCATACACTGAATTTAGGGGTGTTCAAACGGTTTGGTTACCATGGAAATCGTTTTAACCGGTACTATTTGGATAATTTGGTTTGGTTAATTTGAATAATTGGTTTGGTTTGGTTAATTTGAATAATTGGTTTGGTTTGGTTAAAGTTTTTAGCTTGTTTGGTTTAGGTGGTTTGGTTTGGTTTCAGACACTCCTAACCAGTCAAACCAAATTAACCAGTTAAGTAATTAGTCATACATCTAACATATATTATATACACATACTTAATACTTTGCATAACCACTCAAGAGTTAACGTTCATCCTTTTTACACTCGTAAAATATAAAGCTCAATATTGCTCATATAGTGTATATTTGTATATGTAAAATGTAGACCACAACATATGGACGTCTAATTTAGATAAATTTCATACATTATGATGGATGAAAACTTGTAAGGAAGGTCATTTCCAGCCTATGATAATTGCTAAGAGACTAAGTCAATTTACACAGACACAACAATTCATTAACCCATACCATTGTCATAAATTTTTGTTAGGTGAATACTTCTATACTAATCGTAAGATAATTGTCTTAGTTGTATGTATTTTTATTAATGGTCTACTATAACTACGTGTTGATTGTTATGTTTTATTCATTTTATAAATTGCGAATTGTTGCATTAACCGGAAAATTTTCATCGTCAATGATAATGTGATTTTATATTGGTTAATCTGGTTAACCAATTAACCAAACCGATTAAACTTTAGTTTGGTTAATTTGGTTGTTGTATTAGTTTGGACGGTTGGTTATGATATTCTATTACATGGTTAATGAAATTTAGCCTTATTTGATTTGGTTATAACCATGGTAACCATTTGAACACCCCTACTGAATTATATCTTTCTATATTCATCTTTCTTCGCGCATATTTTGTTTTTTGTGGCTAATTTTTAACCACGGTAAAAAATTTACGTCATAAATTACAGCACAGGAACTGGGTTTACCTTACCTGAGTGCGTTCCTTGATGCGATCGGCAGCAATTTCACCCACGGCGCCAATTTTGCCACCGCCGGCTCCACCATCCGCCCCCAAAACACCACCCTTCACCAGAGCGGCTTCAGCCCCATCTCCCTCAACGTACAGGGCTACCAGTTCCACGACTTCCTCAACCGCTCCCAGCTCGTCCGCTCTAGAGGTACGTACTAACCAACCAAACAACAACGATTGTGTCGAGTCGTGTCGTTACGAGTCATTTAGAATCGTATTTTGACAATACCAGCACGTCGTGATTAATTCTCGATTAATCACAACCCGAAAATACTCGCAAATTATCGAAATGTAGCTATAAAAGTCGCGCGTGCTAAATATTTAATCAATTCGCTCTCTCTCTCTTTTTTTCCAACAGGAGGAGTCTACGAGAAGTTGCTCCCGAAACCAACATCCTTCGCCGGCGCGCTCTACACGTTCGACATCGGCCAGAACGACCTCACCGCCGCCTACTTCCTCAACATGACCACTCCCCAAGTCGTCGCCGTCATCCCCGACGTCCTCTCCCAATTCAAAGCCGTGGTCAAAGCCATCCACGACCAGGGCGGGCGCCACTTCTGGATCCACAACACCGGGCCCTTCGGCTGCCTGGCCTACGTCCTGGCCCGCGTCCCCACGGCCCAGTTCGACGAAGCGGGCTGCGGGGTCCCCTTCAACCGCGTGGCCCGGATTTTCAACCGTGGGCTCAAGAAGACCGTGGGCCAGCTGAGGAAAGAGCTGCCCTTAGCGGCCGTTACATACGTCGACGTCTACAAGGTTAAGTACGAACTCATTCGACACGCCAAACTACACGGTGCGTAAGAGTGATTTTGGTACTAATTTTTTTTTCCTTCTCCATGCCGATTTGAGAAAGAACTGATTTTTTTTTTTTTTTTTGTTGTGGATGTAGGGTTCAATGAGTCGATAAGGGCGTGTTGTGGGTACGGCGGAGAGTACAATTACAGCAGGGAAATTGGGTGTGGAGGGAAGATGAAGAAGAAGAACGGCGTTGAAATTGAGGCTAAATCGTGCAAAGACCCATCTCGATACGTGAATTGGGATGGTGTGCATTACACCGAAGCAGGCAACAAATGGATTTTCGACCAAATTGTGGGCGGCAGATTCTCAGACCCTCCACTCCCTCTGCGTATGGCTTGTTATAGGAAGGAGTAGTAGAAAAATAGGCACATCATTATGAGCTTGTTTCCATGAAGAACTGGATGATCAAATTATGCAACGAAATCGCGTAGCGATAAAATTTTATTTATCGTAATAACATCAATTAGGTTATAACTTCTTATCGTCATTTCAAGAATTCCAATCTGTTATAAACGCGCTGCTACGGATCGGAAAATCGCCGGAATCGACAAAGCAATAATACGATAGCGAGAATCGAAAAACACTGACACACGATTTACGTGGTTCACTAACACGATGTGTGTTAGCTAGTCCACGGGCGAGAGAGAGCCAGTTTCACTATATCGAGGAGATTACAGATTACAGAGGAGTATGATACGTATTTATAGTACTTCTCCATGTGGGTCTAAACCTAATCCAATATGGCAAAGGAAACGGTTATAGACCAGGCCCAGAAGAGCGAGACCCCCGATTACCAATCGTAGCGGCTGATAGTCCGATTCAAGTCACATCAACACAATCTTTACAATCACATTATCTTATCAATAATCACACAAATTAACACAACGAAATGAAGTCAGAATCACTCCATCCCGAACATAATATCTTTCACACATCATATAAGATTGATAATATTGTTTACCCAAATAATACCTCGACGGCCGGAACACATAATTCTCCTCCTAATTATAGTGCAACATGTTGATGAAAGAAAGGAGCACGGCCGTCAACCGAAAGAAGACCTCATTCTCCACCGCCAGCGGGTGACCTGATCTGTACCTCCTCTCCCTAAACCCATCCTCGCAAGTGCTGGCCGAGTCCATGGCGGCGCTCACCTCGACGTTGGCCTTGAAGCAATCCCGATACTCGAACACGTCCTTTGCGGCGTCGTTTAGCTCGCCCTTGGCGTCGGCGTACAGCTCCAAGCAGTCCCCGAGTGCGTGCCTACAGTAAGGGTCCATGGCCGCGCCGCGGGTGATCAGCATCCGGGAGATCCGTTTGACGATCCTCGTCGCGTTCCTCGCCGTCAGCTTCATCGAGACTCCGACCAGATCCTCCATGGTCGTCACGTTGTGGATGTAGGGCGCGAAGCATTGGAGGCAGAACTCGTAGCTGAAGTTTGGGTCGGTGCTCGCCGCCTCCCGGCAGCGGAGGACGACGAAGTCGCCGTCGGTGAAGGTTGCTGATGCGGTGAAGGGGATGGTGATTGAGGCCAGCAGGAAGAATGCGAGAAGCATGGTGGGTGATGATGGGAGATTCGTGGGGTTTGTTTTCATGGTGTTGATGATGAGAAAGAGAGATAAAAAGGCATTCGTTTGATTTATTTTTTTAGCTTTTCGAGGTGGTGGTCACTATGTTATATGGGTAGAGATAGGATGGAAGTTTGGTTATTGTCATAAACCAATTGGTCTCAATAACTCGAGTTGTTGAGAGAAGGTTCTGCTCGATCTTATATCACACATGACCTTTCGGTTCTAGGCTCTGATATCATGTCATAAACCAGTTGGTCCCAATAACTGGAGTTGTTGGGAGAAAGTTTTGCTGGATCTTATACCACACTCTTACAATAATGATACTTGGGATATACATATACTGAATATATGAAATATCGTGTTGAATTTATCAATGTTTGGTATTATTGAATAACGAGTTAATTGTTTAGTTATTTAAATTATGATTGATTTTGGGTTACTGTTGCGGTATTCGAATTAAGGGATAGAGATGGAAATTTAATATACTGAAATATCGAAAACTTCTGGTCATTGTTCACTATGTACACTTGCAAGCATCTATCCGAATTCATGTTTTCTAGATCACACTTGTCTTTCACTCGATTTCTTGTTATTTTCAAATTACCGAAAAAAACAGACGCTCTCATTAATTAGTTGTTTCTCGATCTCTATTACATGAAATCAAAGATTATCAAGAACCAAAAATTTTAATTTGAGATATCACCATTTCATCCATTCTCCTTGTAGTTTTCCAACTTTATCGCTGCTGCGATGATTCAGAGTTCAAACCGAACTGAATGGAATTCATCATAAACCCTCTTTCATGAGTTGACACTTTCCCTCGCCATACTTGTGTATGATTTCCCCCATTTGCGAATTGGGTGAGGAAAGGATTGGAGAAGGAAAGAGATGGGTCGGGGATGGGAAAATGAGGAAAGTCCAGCAGCATCACCTTCCCCTGTTTTGTGTTGTGATCTTATTTTCGGTTATATATATGCTTTTTGGAGCCGTCCATCCCTTCACGCCAACGCAATATTTGGAGTTTACTTTGATCCAGAATAGAGAACAAAATTCCACCCCGACACCAGTGGCGGTTGCGCTTAGCTTAGTATGCAAAGAGTATGGCGTCTTTATTCCCCCCAATTCTTTCAACTTTCACATGACCTAATTGGCTTTTGAGAACCTAGCTATTATTGTGTTAGGCAGTGGGGCATTATGGGTACAAGAATGTTAGAGATACTGGTGTCTAAGATTACCCCTTTGATACACGAGATGTGCTATAATATTAGGGTCGCGAGGATTTAACACGTGATCTTAAATACAAATCTGTTCTGATAACATGTCAAGAATCAATTGATCTCAATAATTAGACTTGTTAGAAGAGGCTCATATATGAATCTTAACTATTTTCTCAAATTATTAGTAACAAACCATCTGTAGCCGGAAGAGTTATCATGTTTAGAATGGGATAAACTCCTATAGACAACTAATTAGCTAAGTGTAGGATATGATATGCACATGAAATATTTAAGTTCTGATTTATTTACTTTCCCGCCACGAAAGTTTTTTTTTTAATTATTTGAGATCAACCAATCCATTGGGCCTCACCCCACGGGATCCAACAATAACAGACTTCTTTTTTCCTTTTTGGTTTATCATTGGAGATCAATCAATCCAATGGGCCGAACACCCCCACTGGGCCCAACAATCTTTAAGCTACATTCAGTTCATGGGGCTGTGACTGTCCGTTCACCCGGTATCACCGGCGAGGCCGTGAAAGTCCTTGCCGCAGCAATGGTCTCTAGGCAAACTCAAAACTCTTTGATTAGTTTATTTGCCCTAAATTAAACAATAAAATCTAACTTATATATTTAATTATTAATATCAAATGTAATTCATTTCGTATTCGATAATACCGATTGGGATACCGGAATATTTAGGGATTGGGATTGAGATATCGAAATTATTTAAGAATTGCGATTGAGATTAATTTTCAGGTGTAATTCGATATTTATAATTTCGATATCTGGTATTGGAATATCGATATTATACCGATTTCCACCCTATTATTGAGATACACTCTGAGAACCTTATTTTAGTGCGAATATTGCTTCTTGCAGATCAGCAATACGAAACCCATCTCCTTGGTAAACTGCTAATAAAGATCCCTCTAGGCATCATCGACATTGCTGACGTAGACCATGCCATCAATAATGTTCGATTCACTGATCGTTGAATCCAACTTAAAAGTAATTGTTATTGACTTATTCCCATCCCAAACAACATAGGCGATGATCTCTCAAAGTCAAAGAGATTGAGTGTGTGGGTATTGCAGATAGGTCTGCATATGATCAAAAAGCTTTCTTACTAAGAACCTTTTCTCTTTTCTGGCGCTTAAAATTTCCGGTGGACTCTTCAACAACCTCTGTGACGATCGGAGAGAGGGACCGACAGCGAGGAGCGGTGTCTGTCGTGAAAGTCGATTGAGACGTGGCAGGATGTGTTGCGGTTACTTAAACCGCGTTAGTATTGAGCCTTGTTGGGGCTTGTCTGATCTTATCAGACAAGCCCCAACAAGGCTCAATACTAAGTAACCGTAACAGGATGTTTGGTCTAGCTTTCCTTCACTCCACTGGATCTTCCGATGATTGGGAGTAGGAAAACAACACATCCAGTGACGATTGACTATGAGGATGGATGTAATTGCTGGAAGTTTGGTTGGACCGGAAATCAGGGGCTATTCTTTATTAGTATGGAAGGCCGGAGGGCGCATGCGTAGTAGAAGTAGTTGATTGCACATGGCACATGTTGATGTAGATGCTCGATTCTTGAGGTTGTTTTCTTACGTTAGCTCACCTGGTTTTTCCTGTAGTTTGTGTTTGCTGCGGGAATTTAGTGGAGAGATCTGTGTGCTTTTTGCCGCTGCTTGGTGCTATTTCATTTTCTGGGACTGAAAGGGTTGTCTTTTTCTGGAAAATAGGTAATACATGTTTAATCTCAACGTCAATCATGTGGAACCTCAAGGTAAGAGGAGGCCCATACCCCTCAAGGGTGGAAAAACGAATTAGATTGTGTCGTGAATAATTTGTAATTATCATCAAAACGAATTAGATTGTGTCGTGAATAACTTGTAATTATTATCAAATCGATGATAAAATATTTTTTACTATATAATTAATTCTTGGTAAACACATAAATTTCTATTCCATAATCACTTCTAAGAGCATCCGCATCAATGTAATTGCTTGTACTTTTTATTCTCACTTAAAAAGAATTTCAATCCAATTCACATTATTTTTAATTAAATATATAAATGCAATTAACGTGTAATTGCATATGTGGGACTAATTTTTTTTATTAAAAATAAAGGTTTATAGTTTTATTATTTTATTTTTATCCATACATGAACTAAAAAAAATCCATTATGGAATTGCAAATGAAATTGCAAAATATGGTAGCCTGCATGATTGCAATTGAGAGACTTCCATCAATGCAATTGCATTTCCATTGCCACATCATTTTGCAATTCAATATGATAGTTTGACGTGGATGCTTTAATAAGCAGCACAAACGAAATTGTCCTGGTTAGAAATATTTTTGATTCTATAAGTCATCTTAAATAGAGATTCTACAAATTTCGGCTTATTTTCATGCATTAGGGTTGCATCGTTAGTAGTTGAGTGTACCTTAAATTCATAATCAATGTGCATCCATGAGCCATATTAGATGGTAATATCACAGAAGAAAACAAGATTGTTGACTATAAATCACTCTGAACCGAGTCTAACCAAGCCTCAATTCTCAGTTCTTGGGGATTTTTCCTAATTCAGTTTTGAAATATTGAACTCATAATAATAATTATATAAATCGCAAGTTTGCGACCAGTGACTAACCAGTAACCACCCATCAAACCAGTCCCATTATTAATGTTATTATTGTTTCGATTGTGCGATCTGATCATTCATCGCCAAATCAAATTATTTTCCATCCCTGCCAGGCTGACGAACCAAATTAAACCACACAACTGGAAGTACTGGTCACTTCTACCAGCAAGATCCTTTCAAATCCCAATTTGAACAACCGAACCAGCTCGATCGGTCGGTCGGTCCACATTATTAATGTTGTTTGTCGGAGGCGGCGGCGAGATCAAGTTGGCGTTTGATCAATCAGCTTTCTCGGCAGCCGAACGAGGGACAAGAGGGCCCAGTTTATCTTCACTTCTAGTTGTAACCTTGGGTCTCCATCACACTTGCAAATATTAACAGATAACATTGTAAATTAGTACGGAAAAGTTAGTGATAGGTTTCGTGAAATTGTGGTTCAATCATTTCATATCGCTACATACTGTCTATCGATTTAGCATCTAGTAGAAATTTTTTCTTGTCGAACCGTCAATATATTACGATTTTCCAATACTTGGAATTTATTAACATGGTTCAGCTACGAACCATTTATTTTATGTTTTAATATCTAATTTATTTATTCATCAATATCTAGTAGTTTAGTTTACATGACACCAAGATACACAACCTCGCCTGTCGTTATTACCCATCCCAATCCCTAATACGACATCACCCCATACTATCACCAATATACTTTCTTCTACTCACATACCACAATTTCGGAATTTTCACAAGGCACAACCTCAATCCAATAACTATGACAGTCGTAGACAGCTCGTTGCTCTTGTCGCTCCTTGTTCACTAGCGTATTCACCATCTGTTCATCGACAAGAAAATCTTATATTGCTTATAGGAAAATGTCACTTATGATGTGAAGATATTCCCCAACATTTGAGTCAGCCTGTCGATTATCGCTTGCACTTGCCATTTACAATATCATTGTTTGACCCACCTTAACAAAATTTCTGATTACTCCGCTAGTAACTGGACATTGGAAATGGATCCAACATGGTTTCCCACCATATCCATAGCAATTGGCACATAGTGTGGAAAGGAGGAATGAATAATATGCATTAAAATTTTCTGTCAGAGCCGATTTGCAGATTTCAAGACTGAGTCACTGCTCTATGC